TAGACACTTTACCTACGGATTCTCATCTACATCTTTTAGGAATCATTTTAGTCTTTTAACAGATGCTTGTTCTCACTTGCATGTTATCTTCGTCCTTGTGTTGGTCTCAGGGGAAACATTTTCTGTTAAAAAAATATGTAAATAAAAAACAAGTGAGTCTTTTTTTTTTCTTTGTTTTATCGATTACCTTAACTAACAAGCCACCGAGAACAGGAACATGTTTAAGCATGACTGTAAGCAAGACTAAACACATTTAAGCAAGGGCCTAAATGATTTTGTGTAAATTATTTAGAAGTTTAGAGTCTTTGACAACCATAGATTAATATTCCCAAATGCAACCATATAATTAAAAAATTCCAAATAATGAGTTCATTTAGAATTATTTTTATTTGATTTTAAAAATGCTGCTATATTATTTCTTATAGTGATGCAGATGGATATTTCCATTACTCTTAAGAGCCTTAGAACTGAAGTGTTTGTGCTCTTTTTTCTGAAGATTGATGGGGGAATTTGTCAAATAGTTTCAGTCATTCTTTTCATAAAGTCATGTCAGTAAAGTGTTTTGCGTATAAATAAGGCCTAAGCATTTTCAAATCAATGTAACTTTACTGAAATACTCATTTTCTAAATTTACTGAAACTGGAATATTGTACAAAGCCAGTTTTAGACTGTCGTGCAATGCACTTAGAGTAGTCCAATAGCCTCGGAAGCAGCAAGGGGCAGGAGCATYGCCCATGTCCCAGCCCTCTCCCTCTCTCCCCTCACACTCGCTAGCATCTTTTGCCACAGTAATTTCACCAACTCAAAACACCTACGTGAAATGCCATGACATGAACAGAATAAAAATTTGATCCAATAGGAAATACTGTATAAAATCTGGTCATTCTACTGCGAAGCAAAAGAAATGTTKAAACTTGGAAAATGCTTACAAAATRGAGCTGTTTGCATGTGTCTTGCTGAACTTTCAGCAATCTGCAACAACATAGTTGAGATATTTTATAGCTCAATCATGAGGGAATAATGTCTCAGAATTAACTACACATGCTATTCAGGGGGAGAATAAAGGTCAGAAAAATCTATTCTCATTTGATTCTGCAGTTTATATGACAATATTTTTTTTCATGAAAGAAATGAGAATAAGATTTCTGGTGCTCTTTTTGATTAACTTTTGGTGTCTTTTGTCATAAGCATTACTTTCTCAGCAGGATTTAAAGATGTAACTTCTCTCAGCCCACAAATTGTGGGGATTTTTTTTATCATTAAAGAAGTTTGGACTTTATGTGCAACAAACTCCAATTTTCWTGTATGCAACAAGTTTCTATACACTAGATGCAAGACTCAAGGCAAATTTCTGTTCATTTAAGTAGGAGGCTGCCTGAAGAAGAGTGTCTAGGTTAGCATGCCTTACCTGTTTAATAACAAACTGGCTTTATTTGTTTTCAGTCTAGCTAAGAATATACTAATATATGCTCCATAAAAAGTATTGTCTCTCAAGTTTATGGATTATAGTAAAAACAGAATGTCAGAATACAGCACAATATATATACAGCAGGAGATGCAGAGATACATGAAGGAGTCACACGGAGCACAGAACAGATAAGAGTGATGAGTGCAACAGAATGACTGATGCCTCCTATAGTTTCCAGCCTGATATTGCCAGACACTTGCACATTAAGAAAGGTTTCTGGGTAACTACTTTTAGGATATAGCAAAGCTTTATAATGTATATTTAAATACTTTTTTTTGTCATTGATAAAAGTTTCTCACYGATATAAACAGTGAGAAACACCTCATGAATGGATTAGGGTTTAGGAGGTTCAGAAGGCCACAATGCAAATGGCCTTAGAGTCTAATGTGTGGTAAATAAAGGTTGAATATATTTCAAAGCATTTAACYGCAAGTTAAATATTGTTATTAAAATGTGAATATAGCATATAAACTAATTTTTTAAAATACAGAACTCAGTAGCAAATCTGCTGCCCTGTGTATTAGTAGGTCTACAAAGGACTTCAAATCTTCATCTTCAAATAAACAGGGGCTGAAAATATCCATAGCTAATTCAAACTACTGCCGAAGCAAGGGCTTGAATTCCTCGTCCCTCAAAATTTTTGCAACATCATATTAGATTTGGTTATGCATGATATGTTAGTAGTTTATTTTTCCCTGATATAGAATAGCCTCAGTTATGTTTGTCTGGCAACCATTACTTTGTAATTATGGAAAAGGGCTTTTCTTATATAGTCTTCTATAAGAATTAACATCATTTCAGATAACCCATTTTGGATATATTTCCATACAGTTAAGGTGCTGAACTCCCCCACAAGTCACAGTCACAAGTCCTTCCTCTAAATTTCTTTTCTTCTCCAGAGAAAATACACGTAGTTAGCTAGCTAATCACATTGTACCTAATGAGTTAGATGCATTATTCATTTTTACTCGGGCCTATTCTTATTTTTATAATTATTTTAGAAATATGGCATAGTTATAATAATGTAATATTTTGAATATTAGAAATCTTTATCTGATGTTTTACCAGAAAGTAGATTTTGCTGAAAGCTTCGTTTCCGTGACCTAACTCTGGCCTATAAGATATTCTGTGTGACAGAGATTTAAAAAAAAAAAAAAAAAAAAAAAAGAACCCAATGTTTTTGTGTTTTATTTGAGCTTGAAAATAGGAAAGTGTACCTAAATTCTGACATTTTAGTATTACCAAACAGGCTGCAATTTAAGTGCATATCTCACAGCATATAAAGTACAGCAGTAGGCATCTACTAACTTGTTTTTGTCAGTGAAATATGTCATTTATTATTCTGCTGTTCCTCAATTTACTTTTGTCAGTCTTACTGATTGCCCAAGTCCTAACAGATATTTGAACTCGGATAGTCTGGTTGCATGTGTTACTTCATTTTTTCACCATAAAACTCTCCTAACTCTTTATTATTCTTATCATAACATTTTATCCAAGCCACTTAGATCAGATGTTCGTACTCTTCTTCTTTTTCCTTCTTTCTGTACATGGAAAAGCAGGACAATGAGGCACCTGAGGACAMTCTATCCTTCACTTTTTAGGCAGCCAGGAAATGGGTCAACATCTTTCCAAGTTGGCCTTTTTGTTTAGCTATCCATCAAGTGTTCTAATATTAGAAAACAAGATGTCATTGTCAAATGGTTTGACAGAGCAGACCATGTCCTAACTAATTGCCTATAAATATTTTCTCACTTGCCCATGTTTGATACCTGAGTCAAAGRGGGTATTCTTGTGACCAACTTTGTTTTACTGAAATGGAAATTTCGTGATGGAATGTTAAGCAAACTTCAGCTGAAAATAAATATTTAGAAAAAGCATTCTGATTAAAATTGTCTTGAGACATCTATTTTTGAGAGAGAAGGATTCATTTTTATCACTTTTGTTGTGTTATTAAAAAAAAAAGACATTCTTAATTTCTTGACAGTTAAATGTTACTAAAGACTTTCGATTTTGATTTTGAATCACCACAAAATAAAGTTCAAAATTGTACAATTTTTGCAGTTATATAACTGCAAATAAAATGTGTCCTGAAGTGACCTGTAGGACATTTAAGAAGAAAAATACAAATCACACTTCATAGTAGAGCAAAGTTATGTATTTGGGTAATCAAGCCAGTCAGATATACTTAACTCATTCTGAAAAGTTATTTACCTTTAGTTGCAGTTCTGACTGGTCAGAATTAACCACCATTTGGCAATTCAGAGCTTGGACTGGTAAGTCCTTCCAGTTAAGGCAATATGCTGTCACTGTTTATTTAGGGAACAGCTATTGGGACAGATTTCAAATCCACTTCCATTTGGACATGCGTAACTTGCATATAAGTTCTAAAGCTAATGCTGTAATCTTGGGACAGAATAACGAATATATAAAGGATGCAGCAATGGAGATGACATTCAGAAAATTCAGCAGGTTTTAGTATAAAATTTTACATGCTGATTAACTAAAACTTAGCAAATTAGCTCCAGCTATAACCATATTAGTGGGAACCTAAGCGCACCTTACAGAGCTGGCTTTTCTTTGACTGAAGAAACGCCCTCAAGAAGACTTACTTCAGCTAATGAATGCGTTACATAAACGGTAAAAAGGCAGCTGTTAGAGGCCGGTAGAAATCAGCAATTGCAAAGGTTTCCTATCTCCTTGTAGAATAAATACCTTGCGCCGCTCGTTAGAGACCACAAAGGAAGTTCTGAATGGAGACTGTCCATTCGCAAACTATTTGGGCAGTGTTGTGGGTAGTGCACGCAGTGCGTCCTGCGTCCTAAAGCCACCTCTGAGCTCCCACGGGCGACCTGGCAAAGGCCAGAGATCAATCAGCCACCTGATTGGTAGTGCTAGAATCACTTACTGAAAAAAAAAGTAATAAAAAGAGTTTGAAATAGCTGAAGGCATCGCCAGGAGGTAAATGATGTCTGAGTGACCCACCTGAGAGGATGATGAAAGTTAGTGACAACAGTTTTCCCTCTAATAAAAGAAAAAAACAAAAGACTTGGTTTCATCCTGCAGTTTGGGAATCATGTATGGTCATTCTTGCTGTGATTCGCTTTACCTGAATGAAATAAARTGTGAGTAAATTAATTCCTTGCTTATGAGACTGGTATCTAAGGATGTAACTTTTTTTTTTGTGTTTCTCAGTAGCATTTGTTATAGGAATAGCTAACATTTCTTATTAATTGATACGCTAATTAAAGCCATGCTAGTAATTTCCATTAGTTTATTCTCAAACTTCTACAGAGCTGTCCGTCTGGTTTTAATCAAAACCAAATGGTAATCCAAGTTCTCAGGCTGCAACAGCTAAGAGGAAGTCATTCAGAGGAGGCAGAAGAAAGCAGAAAAGATAAACAGATGATATTCCTGAAATCTGTATAGAGCGAAGGATGTAGATGCTGTGGTTTACTCTGGAGACATGATTCAGGCACCCTGTCAAACTGGAACGAAGTAGTTACAAGTGTTTTATGTCAGCAAAATATTAATATGATCAAGATGGAGTCTGTCCTTGTGCTTTTGCGGAGCTGGATTTGTGTGACTCTGGAGGATTCTCGAAAGAGGTAAAGCAGCATATACCATAGCCTGTAATATGCCTGCATTTAAACTGTAGCATTCATTTTCTAGGATCTAACTGATTCTCCTGAGAAGGATAAGAAGTAGGAATAGAGTTTTAGCGTGCGTGTGCATGCGGTATCCAGCTAACTGTATGTATTTCCTGCTCAGAACAGCATTAGACCTTTTGTAAATGGGATGTCTTAATTGTTTTTAAGCCAAGTTGTTCAGTGCCTGTTGCTTGCTAGTGAATAGTAAGAAAGATACGAGGTTTTAGAGATGTTCTCCTGTTTTTTGTGGATAGCTTTTACCTTTGCATGAACATTAGAGATGTATTAAAAAAAAAAAAAGTAAACAGCAGGGAGGCATTTGAAAACACTTACATTATGTAAGTATAGAGCAAATAATACCTTGAACACAGACTACTTAGGCAGGGTACTGAACTGAGCGTGCTGAAATCCTGCCTTGCTGTCTTCCTCGGTGTTTCCCCCGGCTCGGGGCTCTCTCCCTTTCGCTCCTCTCCCGTGCACGTACCCGCGCGCTCGCACACACAGGCGCCCGCTCGCTCTGCCTCGCTCTCAAAGGCAGGAAATACTTTTCAGGCAATCTGGGCCTGCTCGTTGAGGCCCCTTTCGCAAAACATCAGTCTGAACTGAGGAGACAGAAGTCCCTGGGAGAAGCTTGACGGAGTCGTGCTTAGTTAAGMCTCCCGCCAGCTGCAGAGGGTGTTTTTGTTAGAATCACACGTGGAGCAAAACCGCTCAGAATAGAGCAATGATCTCAGTAACGAAATCTGAACTTTTATGCTAGCGGGAGCTAAATGGGACACGCATCTTTTGTTTGTTTGCTCCTTCGTTTTGGGTTTTGGACCAAAGACTTTARAAAGGGCGTGTTGGGCTCCGTGTTCGCTTCATCTAGGTAAGGCTGGCTTGGAATCTTTCTTGCTTAAAAATACCCCAGAGCATCCCCCCCACACACCCCACCCCTTCTCAAAAAGAGAAAAGAAAAAACAAAAAAAGGAAAAACAGCAAAGAAACAAGCAGCATCCAGCACTGGAGCTTTCTGCATTCGGGATTTCAGCACTGAAACTGGAGGTAACAATAATAATAGCTGTGCTTTTACTTGTAGACTGCCTGCTGATTGTGTTTTTCAAACAGTCTATAGCTAAGTTGTCTTGTGCAGTTTATTTCATTTTTTAAAAAAAATATGCTTCATATGCTGAACTGTATTTGCGTTCCTATAGGAATAGAGCTGCATGTTCTTGCTTGCGTCGCTTTTTAATGGATATTAAATAGGAAAGCTAGAAGTGTGAATGATCTCTTTTTTTATTCACCTCGGCTGCCAACAGGGAGGGCATTTAGGGCTATGTTTTTTTTCTCCCCGCTACCTTTCCTCCCCTCCAGCAGTAAGGATGAGAGGGAGAGCTTTAACTAGATACATCAGTGCTACCTCTGCTGGGCTCAGGCTCTAGCTTTTTCTCAACATTTTTCTCAGGATCTAGATGATGTTTGTGCTTTAGCTGATGATACAATCTTGAATATATATGCTCTAAATATGAAATTCTAAGCTATRCTTCTTAATGTTAGCTAAAGTAGATTATTTTTAGTAATCTGTAATTAGATACACCCTTCGTGTAGTGTGCTGTGCTTTTATTTAGAAGAGGAAAAGCAAGATTCAGTAAATATCAGATGACTGTAGTTTTTATTCAAATTGTATGAATTTCAAGTTAATGAAAATAACAAGAATCTGCTGTTAAGATGTTTGGAAGGGAATTTTATTTTACATACATGAATGGAGCTGCTGCTATTTTACAGAAAGTCGGTAATTTAATTATTTAATCACTATGGACACTGGAGATGATTTTCATGGCAATTTATATAGCGTTTCCTTGTCTTCCAGAAAATCTAAAGTGACAGTTATTACATATAAGTAATGTGAGACCTTCTTTCTTGTTTCTGTGCATCATTAAGACTCTGTATAGTTATTGGCCAGTTTGGTAATGAAACATGAGTCATCACTTCAAATATGTTGGAGAGATTTTCCACAAGTTTTTAGCAGTGTTCTTGCTGCATATTGTTGCAAAATGATTGGCGAGTAGTGAAATAGCTTTGGTGGTGTGAAAGGAAATGAAGGACCAGTAAGTCCTGCAGACTAGGGTGAAATCTCTCCTCTGCATTACAGCAGGCTGTACCGCCCAGCCCATTTGGGCAGCAAAAGCTGCTCATGGTCATCAGCAGCTCTGGCTGGTGAAGAGACCAGAGGGGTCCTTCAGGGGCCAGGGACAGAGACCAGCTGGTGGGCAACGTGTCATCTGCTTATCTCGTAGGGTGAGCATAAAGGAGCAATCATTGGCTCGATTCTGCACAACCCTGTCCGGTTCTGTGCCCTGGACCTGAAGGGCTAAGACAGGAAGGAGRAGGTCAGAGAGGAATCTGAACGCCTCAGTCTCTGCGTCACTCCCATGAAATTCGTGTTGGAACTTTGACGTCTCAAGGGGTTTAGCTTTAGTGCCTTTCACTGCGCTGCGTTCCCCTCCTTGCCCCTGCAAGTACATGCGCTTATACTTAGTATTAGCCATTAGTCTGGTTAAAGAGAAGAAAAAAATATCAAATGATAAAAATAATTGTTCCGTAGCAAGGGGCACCTTCTTTTGCAGTGCTGTCTTCTGGGTTTTAAAGGATATATGTCCTCACGTGACCTCGATGCAAATGAAGGAAAGAGCACCACACATCTGCTACAGAGTAGACAACAGAATAAATCCCACAAAATATTTTCCTATTTTAACATAAAGCTTCTTTCAACTAGTAATGGAAAGTAATGTAGATAAAGCTGCCTTCGTTTTCATTTAGAAGGTTTATTTAAAAGTGCGGAAGATTAATTTCTATTAAATTTCTCATTCTACTTAAATCTAATTTCTATGTTATGCATTTGTGATTTGGTAGATGTATTATTCAAGAAAAGTTTTTCATGGAAAGTTTATTAGCTAAAAAAATGTAAATTATTTTATAGGTATATAATAATACTGAACATGAAGGCATACAATCTAAAACAGATTGTATAGTTTTTGACCTTGCTTTGTTTCTTCTAAAGTATTTCTATACTTAATTTGAGATGCACCCATAGCCAAACAAGTTATTATCATATGACTCATATGAGCAACTAATCACATGAATGAGTGTCTGCAGCTGGCAGAAAAATTAATTCAAGTGATTATATTCATGTGRTGAAAATAATGCAAATATCTCTCTCACCATAAAATTTTGTCCCTGTAAACTCTTCTTTTGAACTATGTATCTAGTGAACTCCATGTTAGATTCCGTAATCGGAGCRCTTGAATGAAGTTGAAAGGTTTGGGCCTAGCTCATGAAGGTCTTTGTGACACAAAGCAAAGTTTGTTTCCTCCTAGGGAAAATAAGGATCAGAGATAACTGGTTGGGTGGGCAGTTTTTGAATAGACAAGTTTCTCCTTTTTTTTTTTTTTAAACTCCTCAACTAAAAAAATATTTTTGAACTGTTCTTCAGGTGGTAGAACAATAGAGGTGATCATTTCAGCCTTTTATAAGCCTCAAGAATTGTTTCATTTTTATTTTTTGTAAGACAGTTTTTTCTTTTGTTCTAATTGAGACTTAATAGTATCCTTCTTGATCTAAAGCTTCTCTGAGAAAGGCAGGGGCAGCAGTAGGAAGGGATTTATGMGCAGTTTTCTCTTTTCTCAGAAAAGAGATAGATTCTAGAACATTCTCCTCTTGTGCTCATCTGGTTCCATTTTCTGTTGTTTGTTTGTCTGGAGAAAAATTAGAAGAGGGCTTTTATGTTGGTGTTCTGTTCCCTTTACAAAAGACAAGAGGGGAAAACAAAAAATGGAGCAACACAAGGGTGTGAGCATTTGAAATGGCTTTGCAGGACATTCCAGGAAAAGCTACATGTTGATTTATTTAAACAATAGAATCCTAGAATCATAGATTCAGTTGCTTTGGTGGACAGAGTCTTTAGTCACCATCCAGTTCATACTCCTGCTCAAAGAGGGGCTGAGCACAGCAGGTTGCTCATGGCCGTGTCCAGTTGAGTTTTGAGTATCTCCAAGGATGGAGATGGATGTGAATATTGAGTGACAACTTGAAGCTTGGCCATATATATATATATATATATATATATATATATACACATAAGTGTATGTAGATATGCATGCATGAGTTTTATAACACACACACACACACACACACATTTGTTGTTGTAGAGCTGGATTAAGTAATTTACTAGAGATTAGCAGTATTCTTCCTTTTCTGTAAACCAGAAAACAGAAACACTGTCATTGGGAGATTCTGAATAATTTCACTCTAAGATCAAGATTTACAAACAGGGTTACAGGTACAGTAGTAAGAAATGAACCCAGTTTTGCTCAAGCAGAGCAGTGTGCACAAATAATCATCAGCTCCAACTGCAGCAGAAAATACTATTTATACATAAGAAATTCTGATGAATTTTCAAGTGTAAATTTCTCACTGTACAAAAGCTGTTCATCGGAAAATTATACTCCAAACCAAATGTATATAGATTTTTCATGTGAAAATCTTACRAAGAATTGTAATTGTGATATTTTGGAAACAGATTACCAGTAATGAATTTGAAAGTGTTTTTGGAGTTGTTGATTGTACTTTGGGGGCTTTTATTTTTTTTTTCCTCATCATTCATTGTTGATATCTGTTGATGTCAGTACTTTTAGAAACTACTCATTTTAAATACAGTCTTTTGGTAGAGAACTTCAAATGCCTTAATACCACAATTCCTTGTTTCTCTTGAGCGCATGGTATGTTTTTGTTTGCCATAATATATATTCGTCACTGAATACAAATAYGGAAATCTGCCTTAGGCAATATGTATTTACATTAAAAGTCATTTTATCTCATACAGTATATTATTTTCAGGCATTACTTCTCTCTAGGTTCTCCTTTCTCTCATCTTTCTCATTTTGTTGTTTTGTTATATCTTGTACCTAAAACAAGCTGGT